CCAGCCTCGGAGGGAGGGCGCTGTGCCTGTCCGCTGGAGGCAGGCCCCTCCCGGCCCCTTGTACCCTGAAGAGCCTCTTGTCTTTCTGTATTTCCTGCTGTTCCCTGCACAGCTTCCCAGGAGTCTGTCTAGCTCCAGCACAGTAGCATCCACACAGAAGTAAAAGAAATCTCTATGCTAACACAGAAGTCTAATTTAAGTGACAAAATTGCAATATAGAGCATGCTTGGAAAAGAACTGAAGGACATGCGGGGCGTGGTGGCGCATGCCTGTAATCCCAGGATTTGGGAGGCTGAGCCAGGAGAATCCCTAGAAGGCCAGCCTGCACTATACAGGGTGAAACACTGTCTCAAACTGCCTGCTCAAAGAACAAAACAAAAAAACAAAAAAACAAAAAAACAAAAAAACAAAAAAACAAAAAAAAGGAAAAAACAAAACAAAACTGGAATAGATAAACACAACTCGTCAAATTTAGTCCCCTGTGAGTGATAGAATAAGAGCTACTTTCTTTTGGAAAGATACAGAGATTGCAAAAAGTAATCAAACACGTTAATTGGTATCAATTAGCAATCTGTCAGAGTTATGCAGGGGAAAAAGGGCTCTCAAAGAAAGTAAAGTATCACTGCCCTGAGGCGGCTCTTCCTCCAAGCAGCTGACTGGGGCGGGCTCGCTGCCCCTTGCTGGTGGTGCACTCCCCTAGCTGGGCGGAGGGCCTGGGTTCAACCCCTAGCTCCACACAAGAACCGCTGGCCTGGTAGCAAATGAGTTACCGTTAAAAGGGCAGAAAAGATGTAGCACGCTAACGCTAACCCAGGAAAGTGGGTGTGTTACCTTGGCGACAAAGCAAGGAAGACCAGCAGGGGTGATGAGGAGGGTCACTCTGTGACAGAAGAGCAAATTCTTCATGAGAGTTTAAAGCCCCTTCCTACAAAGTGAGCTAAAGGCCAGCCTGACTTGCATAGAGAAACAGCGTCTCAAAAAGACAAAGCCGCTTACTGACAATGTGGAAACACAGGAGGCAAGACTGGACCGGGCTGGATGTAGCTCAGTACCTCGGTACAGCCCTTGCCTAGCAAGGCCCTGGGTCCAACCCCAAGTACCAAAACACCAAAAAGAACTAGGAAGAGCAACATGATCCTCGAACTCCACCGGGTTACTTCCACACCTCCCCAGGACACACCAACATGTCCAGCAGATAGAAGATCAGTAAAGATGCAGGTAAACAGAACAGCACGACCCATCGGCAGGACCTAAGTGGCATTTACAGGATGTCCACCCACCAACAGCAAAATGCTATTATTGTCAAGTTCACAGCAAATCTTCCCCAGGACAGAGCACATTCAGGAAGCTTGTCACCAAATCGCTTGGAAAGAACAGACGTCATGCAAAGCGTGCTACCCCACCATAACAGCATTAACCTAAAATGAGTAAGAAAAAGATAGCTGGAAGGGTTGAAAATATGTGGGGTTAAACAACACATTTCTTTTCTTTTCTTTTTTTCTTCTGTATTTTAGGGAAGGGTCTACAGCGTGTTCAGGGTCTCACTACTAGATGGACTTGTACTGATTCTCCTGTTCACAGCCTCCCAAGTGCTGGGATTACAGTTGTGTGCCACCACGCCCTGGGGGCAGGGCTGGCCCTGCAGGCCAGGGGATCAAACTCGGGGCCCCTGCGTCTGTCTATGCAGGCACTTTAATCTGCTATTTGACTGGCCCAAACAACACATTTCTAGATACCATGTAAATCAAAAAGTTTCCCTCCCTCCCTCCCTCCCTCCCTCCCTCCCTCCCTCCCCCTCCCTTCCCTTCCCCTTCCTTCCTTCCTTCCTTCCTTCCTTCCTTCCTTCCTTCCTTCCTTCCTTCCTTCCTTCCTTCCTTCCTTCTTTCCTTCCAAGTGCTGAGATTAAATTCAGAGCTTTGCATGCTAGGAAAATGCTGTCACTGAGCTACACCCTCACCCTTAAAATATTTTTCAACAAAAAAATGAAAATACAACTTATACAAATGCGTCAGATTCAGCAAATGCACTGCTTATAGGGGCAATATACAGGGTTGCCAGGGTTGCGTGCATGTAGTACTAGCTTTCCAAGCTGGCCCAGGCCTGCAATCTCAGGTACTGGCGAGGCAGAAGTCAGTGTGGCAACTGAGGCCATCCTGGGCAACAAACCAAGACACCTTCTCAAAGACAAATAATACAAAACAAGGGCGGGTGAGATAGCTCAGTGGTCTAAAGCGCCTGCTTAGGCAAGCTGAGGCAACCGCAGAGACCTTGTGGTTCAATCCCAGCACCACATGCCCCACTAGCCCTGCCCCCAGGACAGACTTAACCAGCCACAAAAAAAAAAAAAAAAAAAATCAGGACAAAACCAGGAGGCCAGGAGTAGTGGTACACACCTGCAATCTCATCACTCAGGAGGCTGAGGCAGGAACATCGCTGTTGAATTCCAGACCAGCCTGGGCTACAACAGGAGCTAAAGGCCAGCCTGAGCTGCACAGAGAAAAAGTGTCTGAAAAAGACAAAAACAAAAGCAAAACAAACCAACCACAAAGGAATACTTGTAATCCCTGCATTCCGGGAGGCTGACGGAGGCAAATCACAAGTTCAAGCTCTGTCTGGGAGATTTTTGTCAGATACTTCTCAAAATTGAAAAAAAAAAAAAAAAAAAGTGAAAGAAGGGCTGGGTTGTAGCTCAGTGCTAAGGTTCCGTGTTCAATCCCCAGTACTTCAAACAAAAAACCATAAATGTTGGCAAAGATTCGCAAGAAAACAGACCTTTCTACCCTTCTGGTGGGAATGTAAATTAGTAGTACAGCCCCTGTGGAATCAGCCCGGAGGATCCTAAGGACAGAGCCACCACCCGATCCAGCGGTGTGCTCCTCTGTACATAGCGAAAGGAACTCAAGTCAACATGAGTAGGGCGAGCCCCACACCACGTTTACTGCCGCACAATTCACAGTAGACAAGACTCAAAGCCACCACAGGTGCCCCGTGACAGGGCAGTGGACAAAATGGGGCTTACACGTACAACGGGGTATCACCCGACCCAAAAGAACAAAATGATGCCATTTTCATCAAAGCAGATGGAATTAGAGCTCATCGTGTTAAGTGAAACAAACCAGACTACGCTGTTGCGTGCCTTCCCCAGTGTGGGGAATCTGGACATGAAAGTAGAAGGGGCCTACTGTGAGACAGAGGAGGTGGGTGTTGGGGACGGAGGCGGGAGAACGGGCGTGACCAGAACGCATTATATGCATGGCTGAACGGACCGCACTGGAGCCCAGAATCTTGTAAAAGTAATAGGCACCAGTGAAAATAAATTCAAAAAAGAAACCAGAGTTTTACACTTCAAAGATCTAAGTAAATGAGGGAATATTTCACGTTCATGGGTAGAAGGCTCGGTGGCGTGACGATGTCAGTCCCCCTGAACTTGATCCACAGATTCAATGCAATCCCACTCAAACCCCCGGCAAGTTATGTTTTGGAGAGGCGAGGGACCCCGACTTACTTGGCTAATACGGGAGCAGAAATCTGATTCTACTGTTTTGACTTACAGCACGGTGACCAAGAGAACAGGATGTTTCAGAAGGACAAATCCATAATGGGCAGCGCGGAGCCCACAGGTGCACCCAGATGCACACTGTAGCTGAGTATTGGCAAAGGAGAGCTGGCCACTCGGTGGGGGAAGGCGAGTTTGTGCAGCAAATGGTGCCGGACGAGTAGATTTCTATACACGATGTAAAGACAGATATATATCGTATCTTTCACAAAAATTAGCTCAAAATGGATCTTAGGCGTACATAAAAATACATAATTAATTTCTAGGAGATGAGAGGGGAAAGTTGAGGTGCTCTTAGGGTTGCTAGTGAGCTTGTTGAAAGTATAGCCCATGAAAGAAAAAGCGAATGTTGCACTTTATTAAAATTAAAAACTTTTAGGGGGGTCGGGGAGACAGCTCAGGGGAATAAGTGCTTGCCTGGCAAGTGCAAGATCCTCAGTTCAATTCCTGGTACACACACACACACACACACACACACACACACACTTAAAACCTTTTGCTCTGTGCAAGATACCATTCAAGGAATGAGGAGGCAAGCCAGAAGTGGGAGAAAATATTTGTAAGCATGTGTCTAATAAAAATCTTGTAACTGAAATATACCAAGAACTCTTGGAATCCAACAGGAAGGGGATAAAGAATCAAATTAAAAATGGGCAAAAAGTCTTAACAGAGACCTCACCAAAAAGATAAATAGATGGCAAATAACCATATAAATAATGTTCACTGTTGGACATTGGGGGAGTTTGAAAATTTTTTCAAGGCAACATGAAATACCAATGAACTCAGAGTACAATGGCCAAAATCTAAAAAGCAATGACAATAACAAATCCTGGCGTGAAGAGCAGGAATATTTAGTCCTTGCTGATGGGAGTGCAGGCTGGTAAATCGTGCTGATACGAAGGCTGATGGCTTCTTATCAAACTAGACAAGGTCTTACTTATGAACCAAGGCAGTGGCCCCTCTCTATTTTGTGGTTCAACTTTTGTGGACTCAATGTTTCGTGAGGTTTAAAAGGTACTAATCTGAATTATTTATTGTGTATTTTTCATGAAATGACTGTCAATTAAAAACTGAGCTTTCAAGTCATGGAAAGCTAGGAAGGGAGGAACTGCAAACACTGGCTGCTAAGTGAAAGTAGCTAGTCTGAAAAGACCGCACACTGTAGAATTTCATCTGTGTGTCATTTTGGATAAGGTAAAGCTACCAACAGGAAAAGGACCAGAGGATGCCAGGGCTCGGAGGGAGGCCTGGGCGAGCGAGTCTGCAGATTCTCGGGCGGTGAACTACTCCGTACAGAGCTGTGGTGTGAACTCGGCGTCAGGCATTTGCCAAAACTTAAACCACCAAAACTTGCAACTTTAATGTGACCCACGGACTATAGGTAAATAATTTAAAACAAATATATGGAAAATATAAAATTTTTATATTAACTTTGCTGCTCTTCTTGACCTTAGTACAGTCCTGAGTACAGAGCAACAGATTCAGTTTGCAAAATGCAAAGCATATCTTATTAAAAATCATCCACTGATGTTTAACTTCGTGCACTGGAGATGTGGGGTCACACGCTTTCCTGGAAATGCCGTATCAGCTGAGTCTTTAAGGCTCTGAAATGTGTCTGGGCCTTAGTGGCCCTGGTTATGGAATCAGCCGCGCCGCTCGGGGCAGTGAAAAGCCGTCTTTCGTCCCCACTTCCAAAAGAAAGTGGCGGTGCGTTCTCCGCTGCTCTTCACACTGCTGGCTTTTCTTCGAAGTTTATGGGCAAGATTTAGCTCCGTAGTCATGAACAGAAACGCAGACCTGGCAAGTGACGTCGACATCGGGACTAAAAGTCCCAGGACTGCAGACCACTGCAAAGGAAGGCGCACGGAGCAGATTACCCCCCGCCGGAGGCACGTTATCGCAGCGGCAGAGCGGCGGCAGGAGCGGTGCGGTTGCTACGCCCGCGTCGGGCTCGGTCAATTAAGTTACGGGAGACTATGGATGACCCTAAAGGCAGGGGAAGGTGAGAATCTTTTTTTTTTTTTTAAACAGGGACAAAGTTTACTTGCAAACGTGAAGGGTGAGGGGGAGACTGGCTCTGCAGAGCAGGCTTGGGCAGAGTGAGGGGAAGGACGGGCGAAGCCCACCCTGCAGGAGGCGGACAGAGCGCACGGGGAGGCCCCGAACACGCCAAGATAGACATGTTTAGAAACTTGGTCTTTGAATTTGCGCTTCCCTTTAGCAAAACATGCTTTTGGAGGAGAACCTGGGTAAAGATCCAGTTCAAGGCCCCTAAGTGCGGTATTCACCATTCCTCTGACTCTGGGACTCGGGGATTTAGATTTGCACTTTATAGTTACCACAACAGCTTGCACAGTTACTGTGTAGACCTTCATTCTTTCCAAAGCCTGGCCGACAGCTGTCCGTCCGAACTACGTGGAGACTGTGGTCCACGAAGTGCATGACTGGTACCGTCTTACTAAAATTACGGTAAAAAATACTTGCTTGGCTCCGAAAAAATTCCTCTATACGATCTCTTGCCTAAGATTTAACAATATCAGAGAAAAGAACAATTACTAAGCCCGATGGGCCGTGTTTTATACATCAGGTGAGCTCTCAGATTGCTGGGTGTAAGACGAAAACTGAACTGAATCTTAGTGCAGCCTTAACCCGATTAACTGTTCTCATTTCATATATCAAATGAATAAGAAAAAATAAAGTTAAAAAATTTTGTAACATGTTAATCCCTTATGTAGCTAACTAGGGGTTCCTTACAGTATTTCTAGCTCCATCAAATTACCAACGAAAAGAAATCCAAGCAAAATTAAAACTAATGTTTTTCCTAACCAGCATTGCAAACTAATGACATAACGCTTAGCCTATTTCTCAAGAACAGAGTTTAATAATAACTAGCAGAGGGGCCAGGGAGATGGCTCAGTGGAATAAGCGTTTCCCTGGCAAGCTCAAGGGTCTGAGTTCAATCCCTGGTTCCGCAAAACAAACAAACCAACAAGAAACCCCACTAGCATCAACTGCACTCTGCCCCTACGCTATCCATATTATTGGCTCAGGAACCAGATCACAGAGTGAAGGAACCCTTTTCTGCAGTAGCCACCCCCTTCCCCCCCAGCCCTTTCATTTATTATTATTTTTTCCTTTTAGCCAAGGCCTCACTAAGTCACTCAGACTAAGCTTAAACTTGTGACCCTCCTGCCTCAGCCTCCCAGAGCACTGGGATTACAGGGCATGCACCAAAAGCCTAGCTGAAAGAAAGGATTTTTCAGACCATGTTCCTAGCTCTCGAGGATAGCAGACAGCACAGGAACTTTACTTATTTAGAAATAAGAGTCTCAGGGGCTGGGGAGAGAGCTCAGTGGAATAAGCGCTTGCCTGGCAAGTGCAAGGGCCTGAGTTCAATCCACAGTTCCACGAAAAGAAAAAAAAAGGAAACAAGAGTCTCGCTGCCGCTCAGGCCAGCCTCTGTAAGGCCCATGCTAACCCTGAACTCCCTGCTGTATGCCTGCCTCAGCCTCCCAAGTGCTGGGTTACGGTGAGCGCCACCACGCCTGACAGTGCAGGATCTGTTACCACGAGAGCAGATACAATTTTGGAGAACAGTTGCTTTAACCTAGGATGGCACGATTGTGAAACGCTGCTCCAGGCTGCTGTGTAACCATCATCTGGGGAACAAAACGAGGGAACTGCCTTTCCGTTATAAAATACAAAACGGCATTTAAAAAAAATAGCATATTTTAAAAAATCTTTTATTTATTTATGTATTTGGTGCAGGGCCTCCCTACGCAGCTCGGACTCGTAGCGATCCTCCTACCTCAGCCTCCTCAGTGCTGGAGCTACAGGTGTGTGTCCCCAGCCCTGTGTCCCCAGCTTAGCACGCCCTGCCGGGCAGGTGTGGCTAGGTGCCGGGGATCCAGCCCCAGTCCCTGAGCTTGCCTAGGCAGGCGCTTAGATAGCTCAGTTGTCTCCGCCGCACTGTACTGAAGATTTTTAGAAAAGAATTTTAAGCCCAGCATGGTGGTGCACACCTATAATGCCAGCACTGAGGAGGCTGAGGCAGGAGGATCACAGTTTGAGGCCAGCCTAGACTACACAGTAAGTTCAAGACCAGTCCAAATTACAGAATGAGACCCTGTCTCAAGAAAAACGAAACAAGAATTTAAATTACTCCTTAGTAATGTTTTTATGAATGGCAAATACACCAAGGAGAAGTATATTTCTGAAGAAACTTTTAACACATAAGATATTTAAAAACTTTAAAAACAGCCTTTTGATTCAAGTACTCACCTTCCAGTGAAATGCTCACCTTGAGGATGTTGCGGTTAGTGACGTCCTCGCAATCCACAGACTCATTGCACGCACCTCTCCACCCAGGTGCAAAAGGGTTCACTGCGGAGGGAAACAAAACCGCCGCACAGAAGAATTCTGACACACTGCACACATCCCCGGGCCGCCCCGCACAGAGGCGCTGCCGCGGGGAACCCGTACGTTACGACCGGACTCCACCTGCCGGCTGAGGGGCGTAACTACAGGGCTTCACAACAGTGGGTTTGGTTACTTATGTTAAGATCTCAAAAATATAATTTACAATTATAAGACGTTATTGAAATATTAGCTATCTAATTAAATACCCCATTAACAAAATACTTGACTTTTTAAAACTATAAAGCAGCAATCAATCCCTTTGGAAGGCAAATAATTAGTATGTTAATTTAGAAAAGTCAAACAGAACAATATACTGTAGCACTTAATAAACGTGTTCAAGCCTGTTACTCATGAGATATCGCATTTTCACATTAATGTTGTAACTTATCTTGGCTCAGAACTACATTCATCAAATAAATGTTTAAAAGTTGTTTTTACCTTGAAAGGTTATGAATAGCTCACGTGTGAGATCGTGTTCTGGAATTTTAACAATGTGGCATTTGTACGACGGCTCTATGACATGGCATGACAAATCAGAGATTAAATTATTCAAGATTTTCCTCAGCAGCATGAAGAGCTGGTCATTGTATCCTCCTACGCAAGACCTCGTGGTAAAGCGTACAGACATCTGATAAGTATAATCGGGTTCCCGGTAGGCTTTGAAAAAAGATGAAAATGAAAACAGTTGTGCCTAGCACTAACTTATTCTACCAAGCCATTTTCGGATAAGAGGTATAGTCAGTCCCATCAACCTTGGAAACTGCTGTTCCCATGAAACCGCGTATCGCTGTGTTCACAAAGTACATGAAACTATGAATTTCAAAGAAAAATGTTATTTTCATCTGAGATATTTACTCAGAAGAAATGGCTTCCATGGGACAGCTACAAAGACAAGAGTATCAAAAAAAAAATTATGTGGCATTGGTGGTGCACACCTGTGACCCCAGCTACTGCAGAGGCTAAGGCAGGAAGACTGTAAGTTTAAAGCCAGCCTGGACAATTTAGTGAGACTTTATCTCAAAAACAAAAACAAAAACAAAAACAAACCCTCTGGGATGTGAGCCTTTGCCTAACATGAATGAGGTCTTGGGTTCGATCCCTACGCCTGGAATAAAGAAAAAAATTAAATTTTGGGGGGGGAGGGTTTTAATTTTCAGTTAAGTCTCAACTCAAATCAGTGAAAGAAAGGATCATTCATTTGCTTTTATACAATTAAATATTGATTTCTAAATATCCTTGCAAAATTGGGATAGTCAGTTGTTGGTTACACACTTAGGTAGCAGGAGGCAGAGCCAGAAGAGGGTTAGTCAGGACAAACTTATCTTGGCGTTAGTCTCAGAGTTTGCCTGATCAAATTCACCCCTGAGTACCTGGTCAGTCCTGAGCGCCTGTGCCCAGGCTCCTTTCATTACCTGAAGAAGCTTTGCACCTAGACTTGATGCGCACTACCTGCATAACGCAGTGCGCCTGTATGCCTACCAAAGATCATGAAGTCGTATCTCTTCTTCACTGCAGTTTCTTCTTGGGTTTCTGCCTTGATCGTCTTATAAGAGAGAGTACACGTGTACAGCCCAGACGAAAGCTCCAGAAAATCCTTCACAGTCAGCTTTCCTGTTTCTGTAATACTGATTCGATTATTTCCTAAGCACAAATGGAAAATGATTTGGTTATGGAACAGTCATTTAAATGTTACTTCATGAAGCGGGGGTTACGAAGTGACACACAAAATTTGAAAATTAAGAGCCTATTTCAATTTCAAGAATTCACCAGAAAAAAAAAAAAATAGGGGGCCAGGAAGATGGCTCAGTGGAATAAGTGCTTCCCTGGCAAGCCCAAGGGCCTGAGTTCAATCCCCGGTTCCGCCAAAAAAAAAAAAAAAAAAAAAAAAGAATTCACCAGAATCTTAATACCATCATGTCAAGCTATGAAAACTCCCCAGCTAAGTACATTTCTGAAATATGTGCTAATTTTCTTTGATTCATTTCTTGTTATCTATTTCAATCAGCTCGTGCCATTAATTCAGCAAATGAGGTACAACGGCTTCGCATGGAACAGAAAGGAGCTGAGTGTAGAGGGTGCATGCCTCTAACCCCAGCTACGCGGAGGACTGAGACAGGAAGACTGCAAATCCGAGGTCAGTCTGTCTCAAGATAAGCAAATAAATACAATAAAAGAGGCTAGGGCCGTCGGTATGTCCACGGTGGAGCACTTGCCCAGCATGTGTTCAATCTTTAGTACTAAAAAGAAAAAAAAAAACCTAGAAATCAATTACTCAAGGCATTCTTCTAACATCAAGAAAACTACGCATTAGGTATCCCATTTCCTATCACTGGTACTAGAAAGATAAATTTTTAGGTTTTAAAGATTTTTGACCTAGGTTGGGTGTGGCAGTGTAGGCCTGCAATCCCAGGGGAGGCTGAGGCAGGGGCTTCAAATTCAAGCCCAGCCTGGGCCAGCTACACAGTGAGCTCAAGACCAGCCAAGATATACATACAGTGACTCCTTATGTCAAAAACCAAACCAAAGTAAAGCAAAAAGGCTTTTAAAACTAATACAGCTACAGAAAGTAAGGTACAAAAATTACCCCGTCACAACTGGGAGAGTACTTCAAAGGCAAAGTTCTTGCCTAGCATGTACAAGGCCCTGGGTTCAAGTCTCAGCCTTGTAAAAAAACTCATCAACAACAAAATGATTGCTCCAGTTTTTATGTAAGAAGAAAATAAGGCACAAGGGCCAGCCAAATAGCTTAGCGGATTAAAGTGCCTGTTTAGGCAGACTCAGGGGCCTGGAGTTCGATCCCTGGCCTGAGGTGCCAATCCCACCCCCAGGGGCATGCTGAGCTGGCCATTGAGACTGGGCGTGGTAGTGCACGCCTGTAATCCCAGCACTCGGGAGGCTGTAAACAGGAGGATCGCTACGAGGGCAAGTCTACGAGTGCAGTGAGACCCTGTACACCCTGTCCTAAATACAAAAAAAAAAAAAAAGAAAGAAAGAAAATAAGGGACAGACTAAGGTATGCATGATTTAAGTTTAGATAAGTATAGCTACAGTTAAATTTCGGTTTGTTTTTTCAATAAACAACAGCACTTTTACAAAACAAGGTTGACATCATTAAAAATGAACAGATTAAAATCAAATAATCAGGGCTGGCACCATAGCTCGGTAGGCTGCAGGGTTTGCTACCCAGCACCATAGGCCCCAGCAGCCCCATCCCCGGGTGTGCTGAGCGAGCCACCGAGACCAGGCGTGGTGGCACATGCCTGTAATCCCAGGGCTGGGGAGGCTTAAAACAGGAGAATCACTATGAGTCCGAGCTGCATAGTGAGACCCTGTACCAAATACATTTAAAAAAAAAAAATCAAATAATCTACCTGTTAATGTTTTTTCATTAGGCCCAATCCATAAGTATGTGGGGTCCACTGTTTCCTTACTAGCACGTTGGGAATCCATACAGAGAAGGACTGGACTATTGTGATGTAATTTTACATATATTTTCACTGCAACAAAATTAAATAATGTGTAACTATATTATATATCAAAATTAAGAAAACACTTCTGTCCCAAGGATACTAATTAGTTTTTTTGAATTTCAATATTTTATCTTCTTTTGTTTTTATTATTATTTTTTTGAGACAGCATCTTGCTATGAGGTTCAGGCTAGCCTTGAACTCACTATGTTGTCCAGGCTGGCCTTGAACCGGCAGCAATCCTCCTGCCTCAGCCTCTTGAAAACTGGGACTAAGGACATGAGCCACAATACCTTGGTGTGAATTTCAGCATTTTAATTATTGGTATGATAACATTCAGAGTCTGACATTGTGTGCACACCTGTCATCCCAGCTCTGAGGCTGGGGCAAGAGGACTGTCATGAGTTCAAGGGGAGCCTGGGCTACCTAGTGAGCATAAGGCCAACCTGAACTACATTTAACAAGACCCTGTCTCAAAAAAACAAAACAAAAAGAAACCCAAAATAACATTTAGGATGCTGGCTTGAAGTCCTGTTGCTTTCTTGTTGTTAAAACTCTTAAACTATTCTGGTCATGTTTTTTCAATTTGTGATAATACACTTTATAAAAATTGTACATGACACATTTAGAAGTTCATTTTATTTTTTTATTTTAGGGAAGGGTCTGCAGGGTGTTCAGGGTCTCACTACTAGATTGGACTTCAGCGATCCACCTGTTTACAGCCTCCCAAAAGCTGGCATTACGGGTGTGCGCCACCATGCCCAGTCTCAATCGCTGTTTCAGCGCTCCCCGGGGGTGGGGGCGGCCCAGTAGGCCCGGGGATTGAACCCCTGGCCCCTCCATCTGCTTGCAGGCGCTTTAATACGCTGAGCTATTTGGCCAGCCCTTAAAAGTTCATTTTAATGTGAGGATTCAGAATTTATTCAAACTATAGTCGTTTGAAGAGGTAGTCATGGAGGGGCCAGAGAGATAGCTCAGTAGAATAAACGCTGGCCTGGCAAGCGCAGGGGCCTGAGTTCAATCCACGGCTGGGGGGGGGAGAGAGTGGAATCAATTTAAAGATCTGAGAAGGACTTCAACGTGTTTGAAAAACTATGATTATCCTAAAGGGAAACTTGTCATTTTATTTTAAATTTCCCCTCTCTTGGGAATAATAATTAGATCTAGATGGGGATCAGGGAGGGGGTGGGGTGCCAAATGCCACTATGCACTGGCTTAAAGCAACTGCGGTGTTAATTTTGAGCACAGCCTTAATGGGTGAATAGGTGCAGTCAGGGGAGGGCGAGGGCCGGCGCAGAGAGAGGAACTTCCGGGCCTGGAAAGCGCGCCTGGGGTGGGGCTCGCGGGAGGCAAAGCTGCAGAGATAGCTGGACTCCAGGCACCCTTGCAAGAGGTCTGCGGCGAACTGGGCTGGCTGGATGCGCCTTGCGCCCGTAATGTGAAGTGAAATGAACCTGACACGCAAGTGTAAATATCTCATGGTGTCTCTTATGTGAGAAGCCCAAAATATAAAGACAACAAAAGTAAAAATTTGTCAGGAAGCAGATCTTGTGCAAGCAGTAAGGAGATAAAGAGATGGGGAGAGGGGACGTGAAAAGAATTAAGACGTGGTATATGCCAGCTCCCCACCAAGGCCGAGAGCTCTAAGGCAAGGGTCACGGTCAGCGCGGAACGGTGCCACCTGAGGCCCAGGACATGCCGCTGCCCACCGCGCCCGCTCATCTGAAGGCGTCGCGCGGGCAGCTCCTCATTACCTGGGTGCCCCACCTTGCCGTACACGAGGCCTTGCTCACCGAGCAGGGAGGAGCGCGGCCAGGCACCTGCGGAGCAGAGAAGCCCAGGTCAGACTGGACTGGG